GTTATCTCTTTAGCCAGTGGACATGATCTATTTGTATTTCCAGAAGGCCTTTGACAAAATGTGGCACAGGAGACTCCTAAATAAGACAAGAGTCCATGGGGTGAGGGGCAAGCTACTGGCACAGATACAGGATTGTCAGAAGGCAGAGAGTAGGGATAAAAGGGCCTTTTTCAGGATGGCAGCCAGTGATCAGTGGAGTTCCGCAGGGGTCCATGTTGGGACCATAATTTATCATGTAATACATTAATGATCTGGACAAAGGAACTGAGGACATTGTTGCTAATTTTGCAGATGACATAAGGATAGCTGGATGAACAAGTAGTGTTCAGGAAGCAGAAGGCTGCAAAAGGAGTCGGACAGGCTGGGAGAGTGGACAAAGAAGTGGCCGACGGGATACAATGTGGGAGGTTATGTATTTTGGTAGGAAGAATAGAGATGTACACTATTTTCAACATGGGGAAAGGCTTCAGAAATCTGAAGCTCAAAGGAACTTAAGAGAATCTGAACTAGGACTCCCAAGTTAACATGCAGGTTCAGCTGGCAGCTAGGAACGCAAATATAATGTTTGCATTCATTTCAAGAGGGCTGGAATACAACAGCAGTGATGTACTGCTGAGGCTGTATAAAGCTCTGGTCAGACTGCATTTGGAATATTGAGAGCAGTTTTGGGCTTTATATCTAAGACAGGATTTGCTAGTGTTGGAGGGGATCCAGAGGAGGTTTATAAGAATGATCCTGGAGATGAAGGGCTTGTCATATGAGAAGCGGTTGAGGACTCTGGGTCTGTACTCGATGGGATTTAGAAGGATGAAGGTAATCTAACCAAAGCTTACAGAATACTGAGAGGCCTGGATAGAGCAGATGCGGAGAAGATGTTTCCATTAGTAGGAGGGACTAGGACCTAAGGGCACAGCCTCACAGTGAAGGGCCGACCTTTGAGATGAGGAGAAATGTCTTCAGCCAGAGGGTGGTGAATCTGTGGAACTCAATGCCGCAGAGGGCTGTGGAGGCCAAGTCATTGAGTGTATTTAAGACAGAGATAGGTATTTAATTGGTAATGGGACCATGGGTTCTGGGAAGGAAAGAAGGAGATGGGGTTGACAAAATATCAGGCATGATTTGATAGCGAAGCAGACTTGATGGACCAAACGGTCTAATTCTGCTCCTTTATCTTATGGTTTTATTCTACAAATCAGAATATAAAATGACATAAAATGGCATGGTAGACTGATTGGTAAAGTTACTCGCATGGAATTTGGGGAAAGCTTGCCAATCGGATACAAAATTGGTTTGATGATAGGAACAGAGATCGTGGAGGGTTGTTTTTCGGACTGGCGGCCTATGAGCATGGTGTTCTGCAGTGATCGGTGTTGGGTCCACTGTTGTTTATCATTTATATTTGGAGGAGAATTTAGCAGGCATGGTTAGCATGTTTGCAGATAACATCAAAGCTGGTGGTATAGCAGTCAGTGAAGAAGGTTACCTAATTTTTGGGCCAACGGGCTAATGAGTGGCAGATGGAGTTTAATTTGGATGAGACAGCAGTTGGCAATGAATATTAGATCTTCAATTTCAGAAATCAAGGCATTGAATACAAAAGTAGGAATGTTATATTGATTGTTTATAAAGCTCTGGTTCAGCCACAACAAGAATATTGCATTAGGAAATATGAAAGGATTATTGAAAGAGTACAGAGTAAAATAATTCCAGGATGAGGGATTTTATCTATGAGGTTGGCCTCAACCAGCTGGGGGTATTTTTCTTGGAATATTGGAGTTGAGGGCAGATTTGAAGGAAGTGTACAAAATGACCACAAACTTCGATTCGGTGGACAAAGAAACGCGGCCATCATGAGCTCATGCTACAAGGCCAAGGAGTCACATTGAGATTTGGGTGAGAGAAGTGAGGAAGAATTTTTCTTTTGTGCAGCAAATGTTGACAACCCAAAAGTTATTGCTATAAGTTCAGAAGAATGATTGTAACGGGAAACTGGATGAGCACTTAAGCAAAATAAATTTGCAGGATTATGGGAATACAGGTGAATGGGAATAATTGGATTGTTTTACAGAAAGCCAGCACAGTCTCAAATGGGCTGAATGATCTTCCTCCATGGTAATGATTCCACTGACCGCCGAAGCCTAAATTTTCCTGATCCCGAGTTGAATGTTGATTATCATGGATTCCTTCTTCATTACATCAACGAAAAGCTTCTGCTTTTTGAACCAAACTTTATGCACAGCATTTCACAATGAATTCAGTCATTCACAATACAATTATAAAACTATCTGCAACAACCCCAAGAGAACAATAAGAAAACTCACCGATAGAACCTTCTCTTGGTTGCTGAGAGCATCAGGGTTACGTTGTTGAACCATCCGGCTAATTGTCCTTAGAGCAGCTGCTCGTGTGGGGACCTCGGGATCAAAGGCGATCTGAAGAATCTGGTGGAAGTTCCTGGGTGAGTTGCCAGGGGTGGCCATGTTCCCGTGCTCCATCCCACCAACACTATGGGAAGTAGGCGACTGTCGCTGGCTTCCAGTCACTGGACAAGTTTCTTTTGGGTGGCTGGACTTTGTTGGTTTGTCATCCTGTTTATTTTGGTTGCCCATGGTGCTTTGTGCAGCTGTTGCAACTGTTTCAGTGGAGAATGCTCCATGGGTAGCGACAGTAATGCGCAAGTCTGATGCCAACTCTTGTATAACAGGATCAGGATGTAACACTGCAATCTGCTCAAGTCTGGGTAACATTGGTTTCATGGCATCAAAATCTGTTGAGGTGAGCTGCAGTAAGACAGGGAGTTATGATCAGAGATCGCCCCAAATTTACAGTACTGCCCCTCTTCTCCTTCCGTATATTTGTATCAATTCCAATGTGATCCCACTGTTCTGTTGCCTCACCCTACCCCTTCACCTTTCTCTAGGTCAAATGTTACACCAATTTCCATGGAAATGATGCAATGTTCTTAATTTCAACCATACTGTGTCAAGAAAATGATCCAAATTTCTCTCCTCATTCTCAGTGGCAGATTTAACGCAATGGTGCTTTGTCAATGAAGCCCTTGGTCACTCCCACAATCAGAGGAAATACCCTTTCTGTATTGACTCTATCAAAACCTTTTATTATCTTTTTAAAAAATGATGAAACTTTCTCTTGGCATTTCTTGCTACAGTGGAAATTATCAAGTATATATAGAGCTTGGGCAGCATGAGAGAGCAGCCAGCTGGGGTAAAGAATGGAGGTGGTGGTGGGAATTGTAAGAGAGGATAAAGGAGCATCAACAGGGTAAATAACAACAGGAAGACAAGGAGTGCGAGGAATAATTGAGTGCTATGTCTGTAAATGTACAGCACAAGAAGCTCTAACTGGAACCAACCCTGGGTTTTATGGATTATGTGCAGTCATATGATTTGGTACAATATTGCCCACTGATGTACAGAGAGAATCTTGCTTCAGCATAAATCATGGAGAAGTCTGCTTACGCACTCTTTCTTCTCTTTGCTCACTCACCTGAACAGCTCCTCCCAGCATGGCTGCGATCAGTCCCATTCCCATACTTAGTGTCTGTGCTTCCACAGTCTCCTCAGTTCGGTGCGTCAAGTTTACGCAGCAACGATCCAATGTTGTAATGACAAATTCAATGACCTGCAGCACAACTATGTTAATAAAGAAGATGCAGCAACAGAAGTGTTATTTCTGATTCTTTTGGTTATTAACTGTAATCCAGGCATCTCACTGCAGGGAGCAACTCTCCCTTTCACAAAGGTGATAAATCATCAATTTTTTCAAAATTCCAACAAATCTTCTCTCCCATGATAGAGCTCATAACAAATAAGAATCCGCATTTTGAAAACAAATACATATTATTACACCATGTGACACAGAATGCCAGTGCAGCCTCCCTGTGCCGGATTAGCCCCCATTAAGCCAATGCAGTCCCACTTTTTTGTTTATTACTACTCTACCCATAATGCACATATCAGCCACAGTGCAATACGTTGAGTAATACTCTACAATCCATTTCTGACTCCATGTCTCAAACAAACCCAGCATTAAATAATTGGCTTTATTTTTAAAGATTGCTTTGTATCAGTAACAAAGCACTGTTCAGGAATGTTACTGATATGGATGTCACAGAAATCTGTACTGCGCTGCTCACACATCTGGAGACATAATCCTATTCTCAGTTGAAATAAGAGTATGCAAACCTCATGGTACAAGGAATGATCAATTTGCCCCAATGCAGTATTCAGTGTTGTTCCCTCATCTCATCAATGTCTACATTTCAGGGGAAATGAATGGTGCCCTAGGTTCAGAACTCTCAGAATGCTGTATCTGTATTAGTACATCCAGCACAGTAATGAGCTTGTCCTTTATTTGATCTAAAGTTGCCACAAAATGACTGTGGGAAAATGTGAAGTTGTTCATTTTGGAAGGGAGAACCAAAAAAAAAGTATTATTTCAAGGCAGAAAAACTGCAGAAGGCTGCAACACAAAGGGACTTAGAGATACTTGTGGACGATACATAGAAAGCTAGCACAGAGGTGAGCAAGTAATCAGGAAGGCTAATGGAATGTTGGTACCTATTTCAAGGGAGATGGAGTATAAGTGTAGGGAAGTCTTCCTGCAACTGTACAAGGTGGTGGTGAGATCACAGCTGGAGTACTGGGTGCAGTTTTGATCCCCTTATTTAAGGAAAGTTATTTCATTGGAGGCAGTTCAGAGAAGGTTCATTAGGATGATCGCTGGTATGGAGGGATTATGAGTAAAGATTAAACAGGTTTGGACTCTACTCATTGGAATTTAGAAGAATGAGAGGCGGTGTCATTGAAAGGTGTAGGATTCTTAAGGGCTTGCCAGGGTAAATGCAGATTGGATGTTTCCCCTGATGAGAGAGTCTAGGACCAGAGGCAATTGTCTCAGAATAAAGAGGCACCAACTTAACATTGAGATAAGGAGAACGCTCTTCTCTCAAAGAGTTGAGAGTCTGTGGAACTCTCTGCCATAGAGAGCTGTTGGGGCACAGACCTTGTGTACACTTAAAGTTGAAGAAGTTCTTAAAGTTAAGTTCTTAAAGTTTTTAAACTTAAAGTTCTTGATCAGAAGGGAAATCATGGGTTACAGGGAAAAGGCAGGAAAATGGATGTGAAGAATGTCCAATCAGCCATGATCCTATTGAAAAGCAGACAGGCTCAAGGGGCTGAATGGCCTACTTCTGTTCCTATTTCTTATGGTCTTAGAAGCCCCAAGGTTGCCTGACATGAGTGCATTTAAGAGTCACTTCAGGAAACATCTTCTTCACCTTTGTTCATACATGTTAAATGACAGATAGTCACCCAGTGAGCACCGTATCCTGGTTATCCAACTCTCATGGAAATGCCTCTATATCCAGTAGCAGCCTCCTGAAACACACTGTATGCAGGACTAGTGCCCTGCTCTTGCGGAGAGCAAGTACTCAGCTCCCACAGAGAACTCTCTATTCAATGCCAGTACTGTTACCTCTCCCCAGAGAGTACTGTTTTGAGTTCTTGGACTGCAGTGTTTTGACATAGAGTAGTTGAGATATTGCGGAACTCACGTGCACAGTATTGTTGAGGATGAGATGACCAAATCTCTCGCATAATACAGCAATGAGTTGCAAGGTGACCAACTGTTGTTCCCGCTGCTCCCATTCAAGCAAACCATCAGTGCGGTTTGTTGCAAGCCTGTCTTCCGTCTCTCCTGCTAAATATGTAAGACCCTGAAAAACAGATACGTGCATTACCTTTCCCTGAGTCTGCACCTTTACGCCACATTGACCAAAACCATTCACACAAATCACACCTCTCCAAAGCACCTCATATCATTCTTTCTCCTAACATTAACTGCTACCACTGCACTCACTGAGGTTCCTCAATGCACTATCAGTGATGCTCCATTATCAGCCAATAAGAGAAGCACCTATGGAACGAAGTTAGTTCCGACAACTTTCTGCTTTCTTTTCCTTTGCTGCTCTCCAAGTGCTGGATCATTCTATTGGCTGCGGCCTAACATTACTGCTCATATCTGTGACAATCAACCTTTTTGTAAAGATCATAGCACATCCTGAGCTACCCAGGATTACAGCCAAGGACAGGATACATGACCACATTGTGAAGTGCATGTAGGAATCCAAGGATTATAAATTCCAAATAAATTTCTGAAGGACTGCATGAAACATCTCACCTCAGGAAAGGGGCACATGGAATCATACACTTTGCTACCCAAGGATTTCGGGTGGCACAGTGGCTCAGTAGTTAGCACTGCTGCCTCACAGTGCCAGGGACCCAGGTTCAATTCCACCCTTGGGCGACTGGCTGTGTGGAGTTTGCACATTCTCCCCATGTCGGCGTGGGTTTACTCTGGGTGCTCCAGTTTCCTCCCACAGTCCAAAAATGTGCAGGCTAGGTGGATTGGCTGTGCTAAATTGTCCGTAGTATTCAAGGATATGTAGCTTAGGTGGGTTATAGGGGCATGGGTCTGGGTGGGATGCTCGAAGGGTCGGTGTGGACTTGTTGGGCCGAAGGGCCTGTTTTCACACTGTAGGGATTCTACGATTCTATGATTTCAGTGAACCCAACAACCTGCTCCAATGGGGAACAGCCAAAGTGTGTGCATAGCTGAGCCACACTAACCAGGCAGCTCCAAGCTTTGTACCATTCACTAATTTCAGACAATAGTCAATGTTTGGGTTCAAACATTAAGGCTACAATATGTATGTTCTCTCCAGGAATAAGAAGCAAAGTTTGTTGGCTCATGTGTGTGGATGTTCTCTGATGCTGGGTTACAGGATCAGGTTCTCAGTACCAATGGCCACTTGGGTAAGCAAAAGTTAACACCTTCAACAAAATAAAAGAAAACAAAACAGTTTCACCTGAAGATCAAACAGGCGATCGGGAGGCAATGGTATAGTGGTATTGTAACTGGACTAGTAATCCAGAGACCCAGGCAACATTCTGGGGATCCAGGTACAATCACAGAAGATAATGGAAAGGAAATTCAATAAAATCTGGAATTAAAAGTCTAATGATGATCGTGAAACTGTTGCTGATTGTTGTGAAATCCCATTTGTTTCACTAATGTCCTTACCAGATCCAGCCTACGCGTGACTCCAGGCCCTCTGCAATGTTGTTAATTTTTAACTGCCTTCTGAAACAGACATGCAAGCCACTCAGTTGTATCAAAAGGAAAGGCAATGGCCTTATGGCATTCTCACTGGGTTAGTAATCCTGAGGCCAGGATAACTTTCTGGGCACGTGAGTTTGAATCCCACTATGGCAGATGGTGAAATATGAATTCAATAAAAACCTGGGATTCAAAATCTGGTCTAATGGTGACCATGTAGCCACTGTTGATTGTTCTAAAAGCTCATCTGATTCACTAATGTTTTTCAGCGATGGAGATCTGTTGTCTTTGTTTGGTTTAGCTTACATGTGACTCCACACCCACAGAAATGTGGTTGTTTGTTAACTGCCCTCCGGCATTGCGGATGGGCAATAAATACTGGCTAAGTTAGAGATGCCTGCATCTCAAGAGCAAATTTTAAAAAAGGCTGAAAAGCCTTAAAAAGGAATGAAACCGAACAGATCAATGATAAACTTAGACTTGCTGACCTAGCAGTCATCTTTACTAACCTTCTAGTGCCAAAATTGAGAGAGCTATCTCACAAACTATCTCACAGTCTTGCCAATTGGACAGGACATACCCTGTATAGGTGGTGGCAGTGGTATACAGTCAGAAGGGAATTGCCCTGGGAATTCTCAACGTTGACTCTGGAGTCCATGTTGTCCCATGGTATCAGGTCAAACTAGGAACCTTCTGCTTATTACCACAAACCGTCCTCCCTCAGCTGATGAATCAGTACTCCTCCATGTTGAACAACACTAAGAATAAGCAGAATGCCGACCACCAAGAGTGGTTCAGAGCAATGTTGCGGACCAAGCTGGTTGAGCCCTAAAGGTCATTGCTGTTAGACCGGGTCTGAGGCACTGAGGGTACCAACAAAAGGGAGAAACAGACTTGACCCTGACCTTACCAATCTGCCTGCAGCAGATTCATTAGTCCATGACAGTATCAGTAGGACAGACCACCGCAAGGTCCTTATAGACACAAAGTCCCATCTTCACATTAAAAATGCCATCCATTGTGATAAGTGGTATGATCAATGTGCTAAATGGGATTGGTTTTGAATGATCTAACACAAGACTAGGTTGTGAGCCATCAGCAGCCCTACTGAACAAGCTGAACAACCACCACACAGTTCTTGTGGAGATGAAGTCCCACCTTCACATTCAGAATACCCTCTATCAGACAGGTCTAGCAACTCAAGACTTGGGCATGCATGAGGTGCTGTGGGTCATGAACAGCAGCAGAATTGTATTCTAATACAACCTCATGGCCCAGCATATCTCCTACTCAATCATTACCATTAAGCCATGGTATCAACCCTAGTTCAATGGAGGGGTGCAGGAGAGTATGCCAGGAGCAGTACCAGGCAAACGCAATAATAAGATGTCATCCTGGTGAAGCTACCAAACAGGACTATTTGCCTTGCCAACCATATAAGCAACAAATGATAAAACTAAGTGATCCCACAATCAACAGATCTTATCTAAGCTCTGAAGTCCTGCCGCATCTTGTTGTGAATTGTGGTGGACTATTAAATAACTCACTGGAGAAGGCGGCTCCGCAAACATCCCCATTCTCAATGATGGAAGAACCCAGCACATCAGTGCAAAAGACAAGGCTGAAGCCTTCGCTGCAATCTTCAGCCAGAAGTGCTGAGTGGATGATGGATCCATCGTGGTCTCCTCCAGAGGTCACCGGCATCACAGATGTAAAGCTTCAGCCAAATGGACTCATTCTGCTTGATATCAAGAAACAGCTGGAGGCACTAGATACTGCGAATTCTACAGGCCCTGACAGTATTCTGGCAATGGTACTGAAGACCTGTGCTCCAGAACCTGCCATGCAACTAGTCATATTGTCAAACAGCATGGAAACAGACCCTTTGGTCCAACCAGTCCATGCTAAACTATACCCACCTGCCTAGGCTTGGGCCATATCCCTCCAAACATTTCTTATTCATATACTTATCCAAACGTTTCTTATAACTGTAAAGTTGTAACTGTAGCTACATCCACCACTTTCTCTGGAATTCCACACATGAACCACTCTGTAAAAAAATTGCCCATTATGTCTTTTTTAAATCTTAAAAATATGCTCCTTTGTCTTGCAGTCCCCCACCCTGGGGGAAAGACACCTGCCATTCACCTTATCTATACCCCTCATGATTTTATGAACCTCTATAAGCTCAACTTCCTACATTCCAGTGAAAAAAGTCCCAGCCTATCCAGCGAGACAACAAGGTGTAGAGCTGGATGAACACAGCAGGCCAAGCAGCATCATAGGAGCAGGAAGGCTGACATTTCGGGCCTAGACCCTTCATCAGAAAATTTTC